GGCTACTTATATTCAAGTATTTCAGTTTAATCTTTTTTTTTTTTAAACTGCTTTTGATTATGAATACATTTATTTCTGCTTAATGCAAATAAAATATTATTACTGATCTTGAAAGTCACTAATGAGTATTTTTGCAGGGGGTCTCCATGGAAAAGTGGTTAAGCTATTGGTTCCATGCTCTGAATCAGTGATTCTGACCCTACCTAATGCCGCAACCCTTTAATACAGTTCCTCGTGTTGTGGTGACCCCTAAACTGTAGATTTTTATTGTTTTGCTACTTTATAACTTCAGTGAATATGTTTCCTAATGGATAGAAACCCCTCTGGAATGGGTTGTTTGACCTCCAAAGGGATGAGAAATATAGTGTTAAAATTTTTTTTATGTAGGATGGACATCCCTGCATTGGTTCTAGGACTTTACTTTGGAGGTAACTCTGTGTGGGTTCTCAGGCCTCATTATAGGTGGGGGTGGGGGAGATAGACCCACTGCCCTAACAAGCTTGTCAAAAAAAAAGGAGACTATTAGAGGTGTTTTCTTTGAATTCAGAGTACATTCACCTGAAAGGTGAGGAAACAACAGTCTGCTTGCAAATAAGACATATTTGTAGAAGGGATGTTAATGCAAAACTCAGATTCGGGAACAAGACCAAAGTCCAGAGGTAGCTGTACAGCCATAACTTTCTGCACAAGTTGACAGTCGATAAACACAAAGAAAAATAATAAAACAGATTTTGAATGTTTGAACGTTTATAGCACCCCCCCCCCCCCCCCTTTCCCCCTTTACTAGCTTGTCATAAAATGCAACTAATTAATTTTCTGAAATCAGATGTGTTTTGTCAAAAGGTACAGATATTGTAGCCTAGTTGTAAACTACAGTATAATGTGCCAGCTGACCTTTTAGGGGTAAAATGAAGAAGAAGATGAATGAATTGCCATGGCAGTGCAATGGCCTGAGTGCATTCCTGCCAGTTTGATAATCATGTAACTGAATCATCAAAAATAGGTGTGAATTTTAAAATCTGATTTCAGCTGCCAGGTTTTGGGAAGTGAAAGCAGCTGTGATGCTGTGGAGCTTATCTTCTTCTTTTTCACGTTCGCAAGCTGTAAACACCGGTGGAAAGTTCTGATTGTTCTTCCACTTCAGTACTCCAGTCCTGTTCTAGAACCTCAGTGTTGTGTGCACATCCATTTTACAGATCTAAGTCATTTTTATGCAGACTGTTGGTTCCTATTAAGCATATCATCTTTCAAGAGCTGATTGGTCCATGAATATGGGATCGGTGGGGAGGGGGGGGGGTGTGCTGGGACCCACACTGGAAACTTGTTTATATAAGCTGCATTACATTTTTTTTAAATATAATCATTATTACTCAAATATATTAAGAAATTACCACTTTCAAACAACGAGCTGTTGTTAATGTGAAACTGCTGAAAAGATTTTTAAAGATAAAGTTCATTGCATCAGAAACTATTGTATTTTAATTATTGATATTTTTTCTGTAACAATATTTGACAATTGTGAACAATTTTTTCACTTTTCTACAATCTACAATAAAGCTGTGTGGGGATTTTTTTGTTTGTATAAAACTGTACTTTTCACTTTTAAATATGTTTTTATGATTATGTTAGTTAGATGGTACTTTTCATTCCTTTCTTCAACATATAATTTTACCATTAACGCTTTTCTCTATAGTGTTATGCTAGTAGTTTCTTGAAAGTATTTTGCGTACATGCTGAGTCTTTTCAATATTTGTTTGTGTGGCTGTGAATTTTCACTTAAAGAATTTAGCCTTTTGGGGTTTTTTTAAAGACATTATTTTGCACCCTTGCTTACATTGTGGGTGTTGTTTGTGTGGCTGTGAATTTTCACTTAAAGAATTTAGCCTTTTGGGGTTTTTTTAAAGACATTATTTTGCACCCTTGCTTACATTGTGGGTGTTGTTTTGTTTTTTAAAACATGTAACTGACCTCCAAATATCAAAGTAAAAAAACTATTCAAAACAGTGTTTTTCCATTTGTGAATTTAAATTATGTGAACACAAGCAGTTTATTGCACAGTTTATTGCTTAGCATATTTCACTGTATCTCGGTAGCATTACCACAGAGTTACATCAACATCTAATTAAAAACAGAACATGAATCATTTCCACTAAAAAGTGCAAATCTAATCTAGTAACAATGTATATCTCATCAACAGAAGTTCAAGATTAGTAAAGTAATTACCATGGAAGTCTGAAAAGTGTGGTAGACCTCAGACTTTTGTGATAATCACATAAGGCACTTGACAAGATACTGCAAAATATGCCAGGCAACTGATTGAGCATTGCTTGTATCTGCATTATTCCAATGAATAATTATAATACCTCAGTCTGTTACAGATAGGGCTTTTGTTTTAACATTATTTGTTTCAGTGTTACTGTAATAGACACTTTTTGGTAAGTACCAGCACTTTTGTCATACACTTTGTGGTGAGTAATGGCACCTTTTTTTCCCTAGAAAACAGACTCTGTTAAAGATATTTGGAAAGTATGTGAGAATTGTATGGAACTTGTCTCGTAAGAGAGAAAGGGAATTGGTCGCTGCATCTCCTCCACTATTCTGTGGCCTAGGAAAACTCTTCACACTCTGGTGACAGTTACCGTCATGGGAACCTACCTTTATTATTTTAAAATATGTTACATTATGATTATATCTTTTTCTACTGAAGTATCTTTCTCATTATATCTCCATATAATTCGTTCTAATGATATATCCTTCAAAATGAAATATTTGTCTAATAATGAACATGTGGATGACTGCAGTCAAACTAATGTTGAACTTGTTAGTCCTTTTTTATGTTGTATTTAGTACTTCTGATGATGTATCATGCTATTGCTGTAACCTCTAATAGAATATCACAGATTTTCCAGTCCAGACATTTATCTTATTGCTTGACCTTTCTTGAATTTCTCATAGTTTATCATTTTAATATTATATCCCTCTAATAAAGATACTTGTAAAGTTATATCTTTCTAAATGAGCTAGAGGGAAACAGAAAGTTTGTTGTGTGTGCATCCATTTTACAGATCTGACTCTTTTTGTATGCAGACTGCTGGTTCCTTGCCTCTTAGGCAGATGCACTCCAACTTTGAAGGAAGCTCCCAATTAGTGGACTCTTCTGACCTGCTTTTGGGTAGGCAGTGGTTTTATTCTTGTTTTCCTTATAATAGGGCCCCAGAACCCACACAGGAAATTATGGGTATATAGTGCTAGATCTTTATCTTTAGACCAATAGGCATTTGGTGGTGTTGTCAGGATCAGGCTAGCCACCTTTACTTGCCACGACTGTACCTGGTACCCATTTTAGGCCAGGCCTACCTAGGAGCCAAGGTCATGTTTGAAAAAGTCTGGCTCAGTGTGGATTTGAACCCATGACCTTTAGAGCCACCAGCGTGCATCTGGCTGCAACACCACGGTGGCTCCCACATGTTGCAGTTAGAATCAATAATTCACAAAATCACTTGAGTGAAGTCTCTCCAAGAAAAATCCAAATGTCTGTGTAGCCAGTTCAAGCTCAAGAGGGCTCTGTGGTTTTGGACATGCTGGTAGTACTCTTCATATCTTTTGTAAAAGGAAAAAAAATTAAAGATCCCTTTACACGCCCTTAGGCGCATCAGGCATATGGGAAGAGCACCCATATTTTTACAGACCAATTGGCACTCGGTGGGTAATGTGGTCAGCATTACGCCGGCCGTCTTTACTTTCCCAGGACAGCCCATCCTGGTACCCATTTCAGGCTGGGTAGACCTGCGACATCCCATACCACGATAAAAATCCACGCAGCCCATGCAGGTTTAGTATCTTTTGACTATTGTTAAAAGAGGTGTATTGGGGGGGGGGGGGTGGTGAAAGGGGGGGGGGATAATTAATTTTTTTTTTAATATTTTAATTCTTTAACTCTTCCAGTCCCAAGCAGTTGTTTCTTTAACTCTTTCTACCTCAAAGTATTAAGCTTAAAAAGCAGTAAATAGTTTGGCCCTAAGGAGTTAAGCATAGACACTATGAAACATAAGAAGTTGAACTAGTAATCTAGACAATAAGGAATGCTATAACATTCTTCTGTGACAAAAGACAGCTGGTCAGTTATATTATCTTTGCTATGATCCAGAAACGCAAGGTGAGTGGTTTAGGACCGAAAGAGTTAAGTCAAGGAAAGTTTAGGAGCACATGCCCAAGTGAATAAGTGATCAACATTTTCATGAGGGTATTACTTTCAAACTTTCAACCAGTCCTTGAGAAAGAGAATAGGGGCAAATGAGCTGAAATGCTATAGAAAGATTCTCAGAATATCTTGGACAAAGAAGATGAGAAATATTGACATCTTAAAAGATCTAAACATCAAGAAAGATTGGCTAATAAACAGCATCCTATCTCGGGGGCTGAAATATTTTGGTCATATCAAGCGCCACGACGGATTGGAAAAAATTATAGCAGAAGGCATGGTACCAGGAAGGAGGGGCAGGGGCTGACTGACACAAAGATGGGCACAGGATATAAGTGACTCCTTGAATGTGAAAATGCATGAGGCAGGAGAACTGGCGAGAGACTGAGTTTCTTTCAGGCAGACTGTGATGTTCTGCAAAGGACCTGCTACATGATGATGATGATTACTTTCAACAAGGCTAAATACAGTGGAAATGGCCACTGAGGAAGCAAGATTCTTTATTATCCTCTTATCAAATGTAAAAAGTTCATAAACACATCATGTGATGATTGGAATTCCAGAGGAAGATTCATGATGCTTTTTCTGGGGATGAAAAGAGTTAACAAAATTATCACCTACTGTCTGTGTGATACAGGGTCAGTTTTATTTAATGTTTACAGCTTTTTGCTTAATTTAAATTTTATTATGAAACATTTAGCTGTACAAAATTATCACCTACTGTCTTTGTGATGTAAGCTCAGTATTATGAAACATTTACACTTTTTACTTCATTTGAATTTTATTATGAAACATTTAGCTGAAGTTCCATATGTGGATGACTTACTGAAAACAAACCGTGCTCTTCCGGCATCTTTCACCTTTTTGGACAGAAGGCATAAACCTCATCTTTTAGAGGTGGCGGAAGCACAGCAGAGACAAACTGAAGCCCTTTCACGAGATAAGAAAGGCCCAGTCAGAATGCACCCAGGTCCCTTCGATGAGAACTCAGAATTAGCAAAAGGTTAGTTAGTCGGCTGGTTAGTTGGCTGATTGGTTAGTTAGTGAGCTGGTTAGTTAGTTAGTTAGTCAGTCAGTCAGTTAGTTAGTTAGTCAGTCAGCCAGCCAGCCAGCTAGCTAGCTTGCTAGTTAGTCAGTTAGTTAGTTAGTTAGTTAGTTAGTTAGTTAGTTAGTTAGTTAGTTAGTTAGTTAGTTAGTTAGTTAGTTAGTTAGTTAGTTAGTTAGTTAGTTAGTTAGTTAGTTAGTTAGTTAGTTAGTTAGTTAGTTAGTTAGTTAGTTAGTTAGTTAGTTAGTTAGTTAGTTAGTTAGTTAGTTAGTTAGTTAGTTAGTTACTTAGTTACTTAGTTAGTTAGTTAGTTAGTTAGTTAGTTAGTTAGTTAGTTAGTTAGTTAGTTAGTTAGTTAGTTAGTTAGTTAGTTAGTTAGTTAGTTAGTTAGTTAGTTAGTTAGTTAGTTAGTTAGTTAGTTAGGTGAGAGATTATCCTCATTGCACATTGAACTTTTCAGCCCATAAGTGCTCAGATCCCTTCGTTAGTAAATCCCACAGTGTGTGGCGGCTGACAACACCAGTTCTGAGTTTCTACATAGTGCACTTATCTGGCCATGCTTCTTTTAATTTCCTGGTCTTGCAGTCTGGTCATGGTTGCATAATTAAAGCCACTTGCTTATCACAAACATCTGACTTCTCACAGAGCATTGAGTTTATCAGCCTGGTCCATAGCTCATCGACCCATCACAGTAGCCCTCCCTGCAAGCCTATAAGCTTGCTCATTTCCTTACACGCCTGCAAATAAGAGAGAAAGAGAGGAGGAGGAGGAGGAGAGAGAGAGAGAGAGAGAGAGCTTCTTTTACGACCAGTAATGCCTTGTGGGTACCAGTCCCATTTCAGGAGCACACTGCCTCAGAAAAAGCCTGCTGAAAAAGATGACTACTTTCAAAATTATTGAAATGGCATGTCTTGGCACAGAAATGCATATATATCACAGGCTGGCTGTAAACCACAACACAAAATGTAAATAACCATTTTAAAGGCACATATAAAAGAAGACCAGCAGTGGTACAAGTGTTGCATGTTACTAGCAGAACAAATATTTACTCTTTTTTTATTTAGACATGGAGTAATAATTTCCATGAAAATTGCTTTCACTCCGATCATTTTGTAGGTTCGAGGAATCATACATCAAAAATGAAGTCCGCACAAACAAGCCACAGCACTTTAGGCAGCATTCAAGAGGGACAAACTTTAGCAAGCACTCAGAACAAATTAAATTTTAAACCAGATGATACAAGTAGCAATGGTTTTCCAAGGTGAATAAAAAATAAATTTTCATTTCTATGAATAGTTTTAAGTGTGGATGGGTCAGTTAAATTAATGCTGATGTCTATGGCTAAGGCAAACATGATGCATAATTACAGAATACCTAATTTGATTCCAGTTGCAGCTCATTTGGCAGCAGGTACTTGATTTTGACAATGGTATAAAGTGCCGACAGTTTAAAAGCAGCGGCAACAAATTTTGAAATATGCTGTTTCTGGCAATCTGGTAATCTTAGTTTCAGCTTCATAGCAAATGGATCACCCCATAGTTGCTCCACACGGAATGTTTATCACAGTCTCTTGTGGAAAGATTAACAGACTGTTGTCTCAGCATATGCACTAGCATTCACATGCGTTAAAAGCATATGGTAGCCATCCAAGTGCTAACACAAACAGTCTGACATAAGAAATGCAGTTCATCATGGATGGTAGCAGAAGTCACCAACAAATCAGCAGTTGCACACATGATCAATTTTAATCACCAATATTGCGACAACAGGCATCGCGCCTTTTTCCGAATCTACAAATCGCACCACCATTGTTGGTCACAGTAGAAAAACATTCCAATCAAATCCGCAGTGTCACACCATGCAACCAATTCTGAAATATACTGTTTGATTCCAGCTGCAGCTGATTTGGCACCAGACACTTTTTGTGTTGATTTTGACAATTGTATAGAGTGCCAACCATTTGGAAAGCAACGGCAAAAAATTCTGAAATATACAGTTTGATTCCAGTTGCAAGTAATTTGGTAGCAAACACTTTTCCATTGACCTAATAGCCCCAACAAATGTTTACGCTGGTTCTGCAGTGTCCTGTAAATGTTACATAACTATCTATGAGCGCTGATTGGTCTATAAATTTATGAAGCTTGAACAAAATGCTAAATATGACTTTTCTTTCTCTTTTGTCATCACTCGATGATTGAATTGTTACTCAACTGTCATAGTTTTCTGTATTTGTCTTGCATTTCTCGAGTGGACTAAGTAATTGTTCATCTTTCCTTGGTCTTCCTCTTGTCTTTTACTCGGATGTTTTGCTAACGAAGTCTTATTTGCTGCTTGGTCTGGCTGCATTCTTGCTATTTGGCCAGACCATTGAATGCTATACTTTTTGAAGTAATTCAAGCAAGGTCATGTTCCCACTTCCTGTCTACTGCTTTTATTCATGAATCTTTCCCTTCTTGAATTGTTGGTGACCTTTCAGAGATAGAACATTTTCTGTTGCTGTGATCTAGAGATAGAAAATTTTCTGTTGCTGTGATCTACTAATTTCAGTATGCCCCAAGACATGGAAACTGGCTCCTTACATTACTTTTACACAGAGCCAGAGGTCGATCACGCAGAATACGGGCTGCAGAAATATCAGAGACACTGAAAAGTACTTTATACGACATGAACAGAAGTTCCTGTTTCAGAGATCTCTTTCTGTCCTGATGCCACAAAGCATTCCAGAAGTAGAGGAAAGAAGAAGATAACAAGACTAACAGACTGCAGTGGTTGGGGCATATAGCTTAATGGTATATAACAGAGATACAAACTCCATACACTTAAGAGTTGAATGGAAGGAGACCACGAAACGGACCAAGAAGGCAGGGGAGAAATAATACAGATATAAATGGCGGTGGGTGACATTTGCAGTAATTATGAACCTCAAAGCTCTTGAATGCTGAAGAAGATGACGATGAAGAAGAAGAAGTAGAAGAAGAAGAAGAGGAAGAAGAAGAAGAAGAACAAGATGAACAAGAACAAGATGAAGAGAAAGAAGAAGAAGAAAACTAAGAAGATACTGATGATGATGATGGTGATGAACCTTTCTTGACTCAAACTGTCTTATACATGAATCCAGATGGTGTTAATTAATTTCTTTAACCTGCCACCTGATGCCACCATTGTAATCACTTTCAGTCCAAACATTTTCAGTTTTAAAGTAACAGCCATTTGTGATATAAAAAACTACATTAAAAGAGAAAGTCTTTACAACAAGTTAATTTCCAAGCATGAGAAGATTGTTCTCTAGCATCTAAACTGATATGTAGGCCTAATTCAAAATGAGTGCTGAATTAGTTGATGATGCTCAAAATATTTGTTGCATAGAGATAAGAATTAAAACTTTCTTTCTATTTTAATACAGAGCCTTCATCCAAAATCACATTCAAGAAATGAAGGAAGAAATTCAAGATTTATCCAGTGAAATTTGTGAGGACATTGAGGTAGAGAGTTTACTTATATTTTTTGTGCTGTTTTATTATCAGTCTAGATGAGTGGCGAAGAACTGACAGTCTTTCTTACACTTAAGCCAGATCTGTAAAATGGATATACAGACATGACTCAAGGAAGAAGATCAAAGTCCAGAAAGACTGAATAACTAGAACTTTCCATCAGAGTTGACAACCAGTGAGTTGCTAAGAAGAATAAGGAGCTTGTGCCAGAATAAGATTTCACTTCACTTTACTAAGAGGACAGATGTTAGAAACTTTAGCATCATTGCATAGAGGAATATTGGGAGCTGCCTTTGTGTAGAGGCTAGATGCTCACCTTTGGATCTGAAGATTGTGGGTTCAAGCCCTGACTTTTTTCTTTTTTTAAAGTGACCGTGGCTCCCAGGTCAACCAAGCTTTAAACAGATACCAGGTGAAGTCTTGGGAAGTAAAGTTGGCTGGTGTGATGTTGACCACATCACCCACCGAGTGGACTATAAAACATAGGTCTAGCCCTATATGCCCATCACGACTAAAGGCATGTTAGAAAGTGTCCTTTAATTTTTACTTTTATAGAGGAATATCTGTACCACAAATTTTTAGCAGTACATGAGACAGAAGGCTGTGGATTGCCATGATTACTAACACAACAAAATGGACTAGAAGACGCATGAATGAATTTTTAAAGGAAAGATTTAAATACGAGTCATGGTGTTTTCTGGAAATTGGCCTCATCATGCAGCAGGTGCTTTGCAGAACATAATGGCCTGCCTGAAAGAAACTCAGTCTTTTGCCTAATCTCCCACTTTGGCCTATTCAGAGTGCCACTTATATCCGTTACCCATCCTCATGCTGGTCAGCTCCAGCACCATTTTTCCTGGCACCATGCCTTCTGCTGCTGTTCTTTCCAATCTTCCATGGCACTTGATATGACCAGAATATTTGTTTCCAAAGCAAGATGCTGTTTACTAATCAATCTTTCTGGATGTTCAGATCTTTTAGGATGTCAGAGTGGCAAGCTTCACTGGAAAGGTCATGGGTGGTGAACATACTTTGGATCTTTTCTCCAGGCTATGCCAGCATGGTGGGTAATAAACAGGCAAACAGACTGGCTTGATCTGCACCACTGGGTGGTGAATTGATATATGACAAGGCAGATGTGGTCAAGGCCCTTTGAAAACAAGTAGCAAAGTCAGTAGAGAAAGAAGATTATTATGGCCTGGAGAGAATGAGGCACCTGGGTGTAACCAGAAGGTCTGGCCGGCTGACCACACTCACAGGAAAAGGCAAGATGGACTTTAAACCAGATTGTGACCGGTACTATCAGTATTGGAACTCTGCCCTGGTTGCTTAAGATGAGGACAGAGCATGCATGGGAATGCCCTGAATGCTGTGATGTCAATTCTTGACTCAGCTTAACTCAATTCAACTATTTCTTTTATTCTTGATCTATGGGGTTCTGAGAATAAATAGCATTTCAGTTCAAAAGCCCCTGTTGTCTTCCACAATGTCTATGAGATAGTCCATGACTCACATCCATCAATGACTGTGAGATAGTCCGTGACTCACATCCATCAATGACTGTGAGATAGTCCATGACTCACATCCATCATTGACTGTGAGATAGTCCATGACTCACATCCATCAGTGACTGTGAGATAGTCCATGACTCACATCCATCAATGACTGTGAGATAGTCCATGACTCACATCCATCAGTTACTGTGAGATAGTCCATGACTCACATCCATCAATGACTGTGAGATAGTCCATGACTCACATCCATCAATGTCTATGAGATAGTTCATGACTCACATCCATCAATGACTGTGAGATAGTCCATGACTCACATCCATCAATGACTGTGAGATAGTCCATGACTCACATCCATCAATGTCTATGAGATAGTTCATGACTCACATCCATCAATGACTGTGAGATAGTCTGTGACTCACATCCATTAATGACTGTGAGATAGTCCATGACTCACATCCATCAATGTCTATGAGATAGTTCATGACTCACATCCATCAATGACTGTGAGATAGTCCATGACTCACATCCATCAGTGACTGTGAGATAGTCCATGACTCACATCCATCAATGACTGTGAGATAGTTCATGACTCACATCCATCAGTGACTGTGAGATAGTCCATGACTCACATCCATCAATGACTGTGAGATAGTCCATGACTCACATCCATCAATGTCTATGAGATAGTTCATGACTCACATCCATCAATGACTGTGAGATAGTCCATGACTCACATCCATCAATGACTGTGAGATAGTCCATGACTCACATCCATCAATGACTGTGAGATAGTCCAAGACTCACATCCATCAATGACTGAGAGAAAGTCCATGACTCACATCCATCAGTGACTGTGAGATAGTCCATGACTCACATCCATCAATGACTGTAAGATAGTCCATGACTCACATCCATCTGTGACTGTGAGATAGTCCATGACTCACATCTATCAATGACTGTGAGATAGTCCATGATTCACATCCATCATTGACTATGAGATAGTCTATGATTCACATCCATCATTGACTATGAGACAGTCCATGACTCACATCCATATATGTTGCTACAGGGAAGATGCATGCCCTCTGTATAATTCCGATCTTGATTTCCTTGCTGGTGCTTAACTCTAGACTTTTAATGCTGTGGAAATCTATGCATACTGTAATTTTTCTTGTGAAGGTTATTTCTTCCTGACTACCCACTGTCAAATTAGTAGAAGAACATTTGGCGATGTCCTTCTCTATGACACTGCATGCTACTATTGTCATGGTTGACTAGTTTCCCCACACAGGGCTCCAAAGAAAAGACAAATTTAGAAGAACGTGTGACTGATCCCAAGGAGTTCACTTTAGTCCATGTTCTAGTTATGGTTCACTTTATAATTAATATTTTATTGGGTTATGAACAAAAAAGAAAACAGAAAATTGAATTTAAACTCTGAAGATGAGTATGTAAGAAATAATTGGTCGTATTTCATTGAATCAAAGACAATCAAAATACGGAGGTGCTGAAGAGGCTAGGAATTAAAAGAAAGTTGCTGAAAGAAATTAAAAAAATAGGCTACTGAGTTACTCAGCCTCATAAAAGCCAACACTCTTTTAAAAACCATGAGGTATACAATGAGACATATGGGAAGAAAAAAAAAGAATTTTAAAAAAGGTGCCAGTACTCACCCCAAAGTGTCTATTACAAAAGCATAGAAAAACAAATTATGTCTAGTCTCATGTGCCAAAAAAGCCCTGAGTATACATAGCTCAGAAATTAAATGTGTGCATAAATATCAGCTTTTTACTAATTTGAATGATTTATTGTTTATTATGTGTACATTTTCAGAAGAAACAGCTTCACAAAGTACAGACTAAAAAAAACAGCTTAACATTGCACACTGACACTGAACCTGCTCACAAGCAAGCAGCAGACACTGGAAGTCTGAAATCAGTATCAGCCAGTTTCTTAGAATCAACAAAGACACAGAGACGAAGGAATCCTGGTATTTACATGGCAAACAACAATGTAGATACACCATCATCTTCAGCTGCCAAGTTAGATTTTACAATAACATCTAATCATCCAAGATCCGAAGAACCACCTTCTCATACTGTGTCATCAGATCTTTCCTTAAGATCTGCAGAATTAAGAGGTGGCCAAATACCTGGAAGCAGTGATCATAAAGATAATTCTATTGAGGAACAAGCGAGAGCTAGAAATGTGAGAAGGCAAGCTGGTTTAAATAAAAGAACTCTTGCAGCACACCAGAAAGGTCAAACAAATTTCAAAAACACGTTTGGTCAGGATGATTTCAATGGAGTTCTCAGATCAGAACCTTCTCAAGAGCCATCTCAGTTTGCTTCTTTGTTGAACTGTGAAGATGATAAAAGTCTCAGCTTAAACATATCCCAGTTTAGCAGTCAGAAATGGAGCCAAAGTATCCAGAAGGTAAATAGCTCAAGCAGGCGTAAATCTGATCAGCAGAGCTCACTACACCAGCTTGATACAGTGGGGCTGCCAGCACCTACTACAGAAAGTTCATCACATGCCAAGGACATAAGAGAAGAAAGACAAACAGACGTAGAAGATGATAAGGTATTTTTACAGTATTAACCCCTTGAAAAACCACATCTTAGAAGTGGAATCATACATTTAAATAGTAATATTTAAAAAGGTTGGTTGGGGGGAGGGGGTTTGTCCCCATTTTTTATTTTTTATTATTAAAAAAAAAAAAGTATTCAGAAATTTGTGGAAATCTAACAAACTAAATTTATAATTATGCTTAGATCAGTTGTGTGCTATATATGAAACATGGAGAAATACTAAAACAATTAATAACTAATTATACTATTTAATTAGTGGAAAACAGACATTAAAATAATTTGACAGAATCACCAGTGGCGAGCTGATGAGATAAGTAAGTAAAAGACACCTTTCACACCAGCGTCACATCAGGCATGTGTTCCTAGACTCGTATTTTCAGAAACCACCTGGCACTAGGTGGTTGATGTTGTCAAAATCATGCTAGCCACATTAACTTCCCGGGACTTTACCTGGTACCCATTTTAGGTGAAGTTGATCTGGGGGATCAGTGTTATATTTGAAAGAAATCAGGCTCAGTGTAGATTTGAACCACAGGCAAATATCTATGCGACTATGCTACCACAGCTGCCAGTGAGGTGCTCATTTGGTGAACTAAACAAATCCCAGTGAATCAAGATGTGGGGGGTTAAGAGTATGGGACAGGAGAACATATACTGAAATTCCTTCTCCCTATGTGGGTCACTAGGGCCCATTGTGGCTATTTGCCACTTCTGGACAAACACATGAAAGTACATGAGGCGGTAGAACTGGTGAGAGACCCAGTTTCTTTCAGGCAGACTGTGATGAGAGCGATGTTCTGCAAAGGACCTGCTACATGATCGATGGATGGATATTCAAAACTAATCTTCTTTTCTTTTGAAGTAAATGATCTTATGTAAGAGTACTTTTATTTAATGCTTATGAGACCACTAAACTGTTAGCAAGTTGCTTGATAGCCTGATGAATCTAGTTATAATTACAGGTCATGTTAATGTCAATTTGTTATCTCCATCCACCTTCATACTTTAAGGTTTCCTACCTTTTTAAGCTTGAGTCTTTTGTATCTAGTTACTTGCTTTCTGTATTTTTTTTTCCATGTGACGAAAAATTATTACTGTTCTGAAATAGTTTTAAGTATTTTCATTGTCTTCCTGATGACAATGTTTATTAATTAACATTTCCGATTAAACTTAACAAACTCAGTTGCAGTCTAGTCTAACAAGTACAATATTCTGCAAATATTTATCATGATCATTATACTCTTTTACTTTAGCAATCACAATTCATGTCTGATCATGCCAGAACATGGCAAGTTGTAGGTAAGGGATTTAGCTGTTGTGTGAATTTCCCTGGGCACCTCAGCTGTGCAGTGCAGTGTTCAGATTATCCTCATGTGCACAGGTGTGCAGTGTTCATTGTATCCTCATGTGCACAGGTGTGCAGTGTTCATTGTATCCTCATGTGCACAGCTGTGCAGTGTTCAGTGTATCCTCATGTGCACAGCTGTGCAGTATTCATTGTATCCTCATGTGCACTTTATTTGTTGCTTCACATGTGCTGGTAATGTGTGTCTGATTATTATTGTATTACTAAATATTGCAAACAATATACAGGTTGATATTAAAAAATCCGGCAACCTCCAGACTGGAAAAAGACAAAGTTTGTGAAAATGCCAGATTATTAAATGGTTTATATGATGTATATATTAAACACAAAACAACTACCTGTAAGTCCTTTAATTAAAAAAAAATTAAACACTTAATGGAAAGCAAATGAAATGTTATTGTTCATCAACTAAATAAATCAGCTCTACAGAATTTTATTTCAACTGAATAAAATAGTTCCTAGGAATTGTACTTTTCTTCTTCTTCTTCTTGTTCACCGGCTGTAAACTCTGGCAGAAAGTTCTGGTTGTTCATCCACTTCTAACTGCAGTAGTTCCAAAACCTGAGTATTGCGTGTGCATCCGTCTTACAGATCTGACTCATTTGTATGCAGACTGCTGGTTCATTGCCTCTCGGGCAGATGCACTCCAACTTCAAAGAAAGCTCCCAGTTAGTCAACTCTACGACATCCTTTTGGGTAGGCAGTGGGCCTGTTCTTGTTTCCCTGTAACAGGGCCCCGGAACCCACACGGGGAAAGTTTACTTTAAAATTGCCCTGTCTCTAATATTGTCAGTCTCCCTGTCTATAAAAGCCCCAATCCTCCTGTCTCTGCTACCTTGCAGTCCTCCTGTCTCTACTATCCTCAGTCCTCCAGTCTTTGCTACCCTTAATCCTTCTGTTTCTGTTTCGACTGCCCTCAATCCTCCTGTCTCTACTACCCTCAATCCTCTTGTGTCTACTACCCTCAATCCTCCTGTCTCTGCTACCTTCAATCCTTCTATCTCTACTACCTTCAAGCACTCCTGTCTCTGCTACCTTCAATCCTTCTATTTCTACTACCTTCAAGCACTCCTGTGTCTACTGCCCTCAATCCTGTCTCCACGACCCCCAATCCTCCTGTCTCAGATACACTCAGTCCTCCTGTCTTTACTATCCTCAGTCCTCCTGTCTCTGCTACCTTCAATCCTTCTATCTCTTCTACCCTCAATCCTCCTGTCTTTGCTACCTTCAATCCTCATGTTTCTACTACCCTCAATCATCCTGTGTCTGCTGCCCTCAATTCTCCTGTCTCTGCTACCTTCAGTCCTTCTATCTCTTCTACCCTCAATCCTCCTGTCTCCACTACCCCCAATCCTCCTGTCTCAGATACACTCAGTCCTCCTGTCTTTACTACCCTCAATCCTCCTGTCTCTACTATTAATTAATCAAGTAACAGAAAGTGTGTTGATTGGCACTCATAGAAAGAAGTAGATAGATAGAAAAACACAACTCTACTACCCTCAATCCTCCTGTCTCTACTACCCTCAGTCCTCCTCTCTCTGCTACCTTCAATTCTCCTCTCTCTGCTACCTTCAATCCTCCTGTCTCTACTACCCTCAATCCTCCTTTCTCTGCTACCTTCAATCCTCCTGTCTCTAACAGATATTTGAAATAGGAGGAGCTTAAGTAGTAAATATTTGGAATAAGTGGATGTTAAGTAGTAAATAATTTTAATAGCAGGAGGTTAGGTAGCAAATATTTGGAATAGAAGGGTGTTGAGTAACAAGTATTTGGAATAAGAAGAGGCTAAGTAACAAGAGTTTAGAATAGGGGATGTTAGGTAACAACTGTCAATCATAGAGTTAAGTAAGAAGTACAAGGATATAAAAAGTTGTAATGTTTATTAGTGTTTCTTAGATGTGTGTCAGTTTAATCTCCTATACGTTTGCTTTACTGTGTTTTGAATACACATGTATATTTAGTTTGCATGCAGAGATACTTTTGATTAAGTAGAAATTCATGTGATGTAACTTATGTTTTGATGTGATCTATTAATTCTAGCCTTGTGACTGCCTGTTAGTGTATTCTTGTGAAAATGATGCAGATGTTTTAAATTTATTTAAACATTAATTTAAGAGATGTCATCAACAGCATCATATAGCAGGTCCTTTGCAGAGTGTCGCTATTATCTCTTGCCTCATGTTCTTTCCTACCCAAGATATCACCTGTATCCTGTGCCCATCTTCATGGTACCACGCTTTCTGCTGCTATTCTTTCCAATCCACCAAGGCGCTTGATATGGCCAAAATATTTCAGTTTTCGAGACCAGATGCTATTTACTAGCCAATCATCCTTCACGTTTAAACCTTTAAGAATGTCAGTATTTCTGTTCTTCTTGGTCCATTGTATTCTGAGAATCTTGCTGTAGCATTTCAATTCAAAAGCCCCTTTTCTATCTCTTAATGACTACGAAACAGTCCACGACTCACATGTGTATGTTGCTACAGAAAAGATTTAAGATATTTATATGCCTTAAATATTGTGTAGTGTCTCTTCTATTCCCTTTCAGCTCCTCATCCATGTGTATGTGTGTTTATGCATGTTTTTGTTTCTTTGTTTTAGTGTTTCTGTCCTTATTCTTTTGCCTCTGTGAGTTTCAGTGCAAGAACATTTTAGTTATATTTATATCAGGTTTTCTCAACGTGTGTCCTATCCAGTGCTAACTTATCATCTCCACTGATAATCCTTCATATTGGTTATTTTTCCTTTTGGCATATGTTGCAAAACTGTGTGGGACTGACAAAATTGAGTTTGTTGATATTACAATTGGCATTGTTCACAAGCACACACAAATAACTTTGAATTGCCTGTTTGAATTCATGTTACAAATGATTAAAAGTAAGTCGCTCAGCTTCACTGCAACTGCTATGAATCTTTACAGCCAAAAAGTCATGGATTCTAATCTGCATTGAATCGGATTTTTGTGTTTAAAATGACTTTAGCTACCAGGTCCACTCAGCCTAAAATGAGTACTAGGTAAAGTCCTGGAAAGTAAAGGTAACCAGCAAGATCACCCATTGAGGGCTGATCAGTTATACAAATTTGTGTCTAGCATCATATACTCTATGAAAGGGTCTTTTTTTTTTTTTACTTAGGCTACTTACTTACCTATAATCCATTAAATAATCACAGACATGAGCATGTCTAGGTTATGATACAGCCAGTGGTACCCGTGAGTTTTACAACCAGTTCACTACAGTTGATATAAATATACTGGGATTTAGTCTCTCTCTTTCTGTCTCTCAGGGGTAGGTGGACAATCCTCCCCCCCCCCCTTTCCATCCCAATTTTGTCCCTTTTCTGACTATCACTAAACAACACTGCATTCAACAACTAAATGGCAGTCTGAAAATGATTCCACATTATTTAGAGCACAAATCAAACAGCTTGACCACATCCCCTCTCCGTGTGGGTTCAGGGGCCTCATTTAGGGAGTGGGGAAATCGACCCTCTGCCCCCCCCCCCCCCCCCCCATCTCTAACAAGCATGTCTTAAAGGGTGACGAATCATGGGTGTTTTCTCCAGAGTTGGCATGCATCTGCTTGAGAGATGAGGAACCAGCAGTCTGCATACAAATATAAGAGATCTCTGTAATGAACATGCACGCAAAACTCAAGTTCTTGAACAAAACCAGGTACTTATTAGGAACTTGCCCCTACTAGGAGAGTTCCTTCCATTCCCATTCATGCGGCGGCTGGTCGCAAATCCTGTCCTGCATTATTGGGGGTGTCATGTATTCCTTATTTTCAAGTTTAACCATTCTCTTTTCTCGTGTTGTCATCATCATCATCCCTTAACACTACGTGTCTTTGGGTCATCAGTTTCTGTTGACTGATCAACTCTCTCCACTTTTGGCGGTCAGACACAATGGACTTCATGGCTGCATGTCTGTCCAGTCAGTCAGGTTCTATAACCAGGTGGTCTGCCTCTTCTCCTCTTGCCCTCTCATGTTGTCACTACTCATTTATTTCCTCATTGTGCTACTTGTCCGCCGGTTCATGTTTCAAAACTGGGATGTTTTTGTATTCCTATATTCCCTGTTAGTGTTTTCTCTTTCTGAGGAGAAGCCACCACCATGGAAAGTATAAATACAAAAACATTCCAGTTTCGATACTCATGAACAGTCATGCTTCCCCCTTCAGTAGTTCTTACTTGTACACATGTGTCTGCACCGCCTCAAAGAGACTTACGACAGTGCAACATCCCACAAACATTATATACAGGAAGTGAATGCTGAACAAAGCCATCTCATACAGCCCCACAACATAGGACAGGCTGTGCGACCGGCAGCAGCATAAATGAGAGGGGAAGGAACTTTTGCAGCGCAGGCAAGTTCGTGATAAGTTCCCAAGTGGATAAACAATAAGAACTTTTAATGTTTACACCTAATAAAAGCGAAGAAAAAGAAGAGACTTCCTCACAAAGTCCCTCAGTTTGTTTTCATATTTCGGTATCTGTTTGCAACAGGAGCTTATTGATAACTATCTTTTCTTCCAGATTCTTCACCAGCCAAAATCTTCCTTGTAATCTGCAATGACCGACACAACACCCCAGCTACATCAGTGCAATTTCAGCCATTGCCTCGATCATCATTCTCCAAGAAACAAGGCAGACGGAAGAACCAGTCTTTGTGAACTTCGGACAGCCATTTTCATCAAAGATAAAAATATTAGATATGATTTTTTTCAGAATGACAAGAATATCACACAATGATAGAACAACAAACAAGACTGTCCTTGAGACAGGTGAAAGTCGTAAACCGATGAGAAAAAAATTAGAGGAAAACAGTCGTGTGTTTTTTGGAAATAAATATAATGAGAAGGGAGAGATTTGAGAACTTGGTAACAACCGGCAGGATCGATAGAAAAAGAGCAAGAGGAAAGCAAATAAATAAATACCTATATGGCTTACCCATTTGGATGGGGCAAGAAAAGAACACTGACCTTATCCATGATACCAGTGACTGTGAGATGGCAAAACCTGAAATCCTGCGCTTATCGGCACGTGATGATGATAAAAGTATCAAAGCTAAACATTATGTTAACTCCTTTTGTGTGTCACCCAGCCACCAAAAGAAATAAAAATTCACCTCACATTAACATTAAATGATAAAATCCAATCCATTTTTTGAGGGAAAAAATTGTCAAGTTCAACCAGCATCCTTAAAGAGGGACCTTTTGGTTATACTTGTGACTTAGGTTATTTGCATCATTTTAAAATGGCTTAACATTGCTCGCCACCAAGTAGCCCTGAAAAGGACCCCAAATACTGTCCCGACCCAAGACCAAGTTCGGGCCAGCCAATGACCTACCTGGTTGCCGATGTGACCCAGAGGGTGACATAAGGTCAGTGCAAGCCTGGAAAGTTCTTGGATAGTGTGGAAAGCTGATGGCTGATGGACTCTAGCAGGGCTTTGAAGCACTGGGCTTTCTGGCTTGTCTCTTTTGCGTTGCCTCAGTGCACATCGAACCATTCAGTCTATAAGTGCTCGGATCGTCACCTCAGGAAATCTCATAGAGGCTGAGGACACCAGTTTTGTGTTGGTTTCTTATTCTTCTTTAGCTTTCTGCATAGTGTTTATGTTTATTCGACAGATCAACAATGGGGCACACAGGTGTAACCCATAAGTACTCCGTTCTACTTCTAACTCAAGCCAGAGTCTGGAGGGTCTCAGCTCAGTGCCTGAACTCTGTTACACCGACGAGGATCATGAAATACTTTCGGTAGATTTTTAACTACTTTCGGTAGATATTTAACCTATAATGTTGCCCAGGCTACTCTTTTCGATTTCAAACTGCTAAGGGATTTTTTGTTACGTGCGCAAGAATACACACAGGCGTCCTATCTTACTACCTAGAGACAAGGGAAAATTACTGGAAGTCCACATGAAAAAACCTAGTCTTCACTAGAGCTTGAACCCAGGACCTCCAGGGGGACACCATACCTCTCACCACCCCCAACCCCTAGAGTGTATACACAAACAGTGAAGATTTGTTTTAGGGGATTATGTGAAGGATAGACTCGAAACTTTGCAACAACTGGCAACTTTGATGGAAAGAGATCAAGAGGAATCAGTATCCCGTAACACTGTGTGTCATTGGGTCACCAGTTTCTGTTGACTGATCAGCTGTCTCCACCTTTGGCGGTCAGTTGCAATGGACTTCATAGTTGCATGCCTGGGGCCTGTTTAGTCAGTTAAGTTCTGCGAGCAGGTCTTTGTTGGTTTGCCTCTTCTCTTACATCTACTGAGTCCTGCAGTATTGTTATTGAAAGGCCGTTAGATCTCATTGAATGTCCATACCATTGTATTTTTTTTTGCCTTTTCTCTGTAGTTAAAAGAGGTTCATAGTTGCCAGTGTGTTGTATATTTATATGGCGAACCTCTTCATTTGTTATGTGGTCTCTGTATGATTTGCCTAGAATTTTTCTGAAACATTGCATTTCCAATGCTTATATCTTCCTTTTGAGTTCAGTGTTAAGGTCCAAGTTTCACAGCCATATGTGAATGTGCTAATAGCAGTGCTCTAAGCAATCAAATCTTTGTTTTGCATGAAATGTTTTTGGATCTCTCAATGTTTGCTGCTTGGCAAAGACTGAAGTTATCAGGGCAATCCTAGACATGATTTCTGGACTTCAATTATTGACTTGTTCTAATTGGAACCTTCAGCGTACATTGGTGAGGTTATACCAGCTGGATTATTAGTCATTACTTGTTTTTTTCTGCGTTTATTTCCATGCCATAGTTGGTTGATGTTTCATCGAGCAGATTTACAAGCTTGACTAGCTCTTGTTCTTCCCCGGCCAACCCATCGATGTCATCTGCAAACCCCAAGTTTGTTATAGTTCAACCTCCGATACTAACTGTTCCATGATGTTGTTCTAGGGCGTCAGTAATAATTTTTCCTAAAAAGATTGAGAGGAATCATCATCATCATCAGGTGCCTTTCCGACTGGTGTGGGCATTCATGCCTCCCACAATGTGCGATCTCCTGCAGCATGTATCAGTTCATGTGCTGACACACCTCCATGCCTAGAGGAATACAATGAGGAAAATTTATGGATGGCTTGACTGCATAATTAGGACATTATGTGTGGTGTACCATGTCTTTAATATCATCAATCTTCTTGAGTGCCCAAGGGCTGCAACTCAAAAGCTAAATATTTTATCAGTCGAGGCAGGAATAGTTGTTGGTCTAGCCTTCAAGAGGTGGCAACGGCTATTATCATTATGTATGGTGTACAATGTCTTTAATATCATCAATCAATATTCTTGAATGCCCATTGGCTCTTGTATCGGCAACTCAAAAGCCAAATGTTTTATCAGTTGAGGCAGGAATAGTTGGTCTAGCCTTCAAGAGGTGGCAACGGCTATTATCATTATGTGTGTTGTACAATGTCTTTATTATCTGTCAATATTCTTGAATGCCCACTGGCCCTTGTATTGGCAACTAAGTGCTAAATGTGTTACAGGGTTTTTCAACTGAAGAATGACTTCTAACTCGACTAACATGTTGTAAGTCTAACTAGTAGTAAGTGGCATTTATACCTTTTCAACGCTTATTTTCATTCAAACAGGTTATATAATTTTTATATCTTCTTCTTTTGTCAAAATCTGCTTGTGCCGCTAGGCGTCGCAGTCTATCAGATGATCGGCAACCGAGCCAGGGCGCGCTCAGTCGCTTCATATGCCGTGATGTTATGAAGTCTCAAGTTGTCCGTGACTCCTTCAATCCATCTTCTTCTTGGTCTTCCCCTGCCTCTTGGTGTTTCGATTTTCATGTTGTATGCTCTTGATGCTGGCATCGTTGGTTCCATTCTCATTAGGTGACCAAACCATTTCATTCTTTGCTTCTCAATAAATTTAACAATGAGTATGGTTCCAATAGTTCTTGTAATCACATCGTTTCTCACTCGTTCTCTTCTGGTTTTATTCGCAGCCATTCTCAAACATCTCATTTCACAGGTGGTTAGTCTTCTCTCGTGTTCTTTTGTTAATGTCCAAGTCTGACATTGATAACCTAATGTCGGTATAAAGATTGTATTTATAATTTGTCTTTTTATCTCAGCTGGGACAGCAGGGTGTTTTAAAATTGGGGCAAGTTGGTATGCGACATTGTTGGCTTGTTAGATTCTTGCTTCGATCTCTCTGTCTATTTTACCATTGAATGTAAAGATACTTCCCAAGTATTTAAATTCTTGCACTTGTTTTAGGCTGTGATCTAGAATCTTTATGTCGATGGTCTGTTGCTCTCTACTTATGCTCATGGCCTCTGTCTTTTCAGTATTGATCTTCATATGATGCTTGAGGCAACTGTCGTGTAGTAGGTTTATGTGGTCTTGCAGCTGTTTACTATCACTGTGAAATAGGCATTGATCGTCGGCAAAGAGCAGCTCATTGAAGTCCTCCTGTTTATCGACATCTGTTGGTGTAATGTCTATTTTATTAATATTGTCCATAAATATTATGAAAAGTAAAGGTGATAATACACAACCTTGTCTTACTCCTGATGTTACTGGGAACCAGTCTGTGATGCCAGCTCTTGTTCTAATGGCGCTTTCACTTTGTCTATAAATAGCCCTAACACAATCTAAAATTGTTCCATTTATACCGTAGTTTTCAAGAACTTTCCATAATAAATTTCTGTTTACTCTATCAAAAGCTTTTTCTTGATCTATGAAAGCGATGTTCATTTGATGTCTATGTTCTAGTGTCTTTTCGCTAACTTGTCTTAAAGCAAAAATAGCGTCAGTACACCCTCTTCCTTTCCTAAATCCGACCTGTGATGGGCTCAGGATTGGTTCTACAATGGATCTAATTCGTTGTTCCAGAATTTTGGCAAACATTTTTCCTACGTGGCTTAGAAGGGAGATGCCTCTGTAATTGTTACAGCCTTGCTTATTGCCTTTTCTTTTCCAAATTGGGACTATAAGGGCTCTTTGCCAGTCTATTGGTACAGTTCTTTCATTCCAGGCTTTCCTAAATATGTGGAGTAGCCAGGTGACTCCAATTTCTCCACAAGCCTGTATTGCCTCGGCTGATATTCCATCAACACCTGATGCCTTATTTTTGGGACTGCATCTGATTTCTTCTCTGACTTCTTGTTCGATTATTGTAGGCTGTTCCTCGTTTGTACATCTGGGTGTGAATGGTACTGTTTCCTCATTTCCTGTTACATTCAGAAAAGTCTGAAAATATTCTTTCCACCTTTCTCTGATCTTGCCCTCCTCATGTATGGGTTTGCCTTGACTATCATTGACATATTCAGATGGCTGGAATGGTTCATCTATAGTTCTCATTTTTGCAATGGTTTTGTAAAACTGTCTACTAGATTTAGCACAGATTTTGGTAAGATTTTCCCCATACATGATCCAGGATGTTTCCTTGGATTATTTAATTTCTCTTGCAGATTGTCGCCTGGCAATTCTGTACTTGATATAATCGTCATAATTTGTATATACAACACTAAAATTAAGTCTATGTTTGTATAATTATTGTACATTATCTAAAAATACATAGAAGTCCCTCGAGTTTTTTTTTCCCTACCAGTGTAGTTATCTATTTCTTTCTTTACTATTTTATTTATCTTTTTTGTTGTTGTTGGTGTGATTGTAAGTAGCATATGTCAAAAGTTGAAAAGGTGTATTTAAAATGCTAAATCGTCTATCTACTAAATGCTATAATCTCCATTATAAAATATAACAACATATATACCGTCAGATCTGAATGTTTATTTAAATTTCCATATATTTAATTAAAATTAATCTTTAAAAAATGACTTGCCTGTAACAATAATGTTTTTCATTTCAGTTGTTTCTAATATTTAGTTGGAACAGTACTCAGTCGTACGCTGAGAAAACCCTGTATTTCATTTGCAAACCTTTCAGTGTTTAACCTCTCCCTCAACAGATTCCAACACATCTGTAAGCTCTTTATTTCAGTTTATTTGATTCATCAGTTTTCAATGTAACAACAAATGCCTCTAACATGTAACAAACATCATCCATCATGACCAAACAATGAATTAGCAGTGCAAAAACCCTTGCAGGTGCTACCCAATCCCAACTGTAAACCTATTTAACTAAAGCAGTACAATTAAAACAAATTTTGACATCAAGCCTCTTCCCCGTGGCCTGAAGACAACAGTGCTGAAGGACAGTTTCTGAAAAATGAGGCAGAGGCGGATATCTGCGAAGGTGCACTCAAGACATTGAAAACGCATGGGCTATGAAAGCATATAGGCCTGGAGAACCAACTGGGGGGGAAAAAGAGAGAGAGAGAACTTTGAGGTGTGCCGTGATGACAGCAACGTTCTGTAAAGGGCCGGGTGTTTGATGATGATGACGACAAACAGAGAGAAACACAGGCTGAGAGGGTCAGAAAGGAGATAATGTAAAACACAACAAAAATTCATTTTAAACTGACATTCTTTAATGATTGTAGCTGTGAGACAACATTTATGAAATTTTAATATATTTACACTCTTAAAAACAAACCCAAAAAATGTGTCGCGTTGTTCCATGAATTAAAAGTGTGATGGTTATTACTACACACACTAAAGTGTCAATAAATCCATTAACATGCAATTTAAAATGCGTCAATCTAGGGGACAAAAAAAATAAATGACAAAAATATTGACGAGTGACAAGAATTAATGAAAGTATAATCTGGACAAAGAAATCAAATAAAGAAAAATACATTATGAGTAGATATAATAAATGATGAATGAAAATATATTCTGGACAAACACTATAAACTTGCATTCACCATTTTCATATAGGTTTCACCAGATCGAAAGCTGCTTAAATAAATGTATTCAGTTTACCCATCACACAAAACCTTAATAAAACTGTGCCGTCTCCATGAAGAAGATTGGCTACTTGCCCACTGTCGTCTTTGTTATGATGACCAAACATAATCTATTTAAAAAAAACCTGATGAAAGCTACTCCTAAAACAAACAAGCAACTGACTAGCCGGAGTCTTCTACTAGAGAACCTAGCTTTCACTGTTTTACCAATTAAAACAATACAACACAAGACAACAAACATTTCTTCAACGATGATACAGTTGTGGCTTCCAGTGGGGAATTCTGGCCACGGCTTAACTCCTGGAAAGAAAAAGGTACAGAAGTGTAAATGCCAAGGATAAAGTGATTGTTCAATTAATATCTCTAGAAATAATAACATTCTTGTTCCAAAATGACAGCTTTATTTTAATCTTTGAACCCCTCTCCAGAGCAGCAGAAAAATGTGTGTGTATGTATCCAAGAGCAACAGTTAAAAGAACCAAATCTCCCTGATAGTAGGTTTCAAGCCAATGCTTTACAATCAGAAGGTCGTGGATCAATTTTCTGTACAGGTGTCCCCCTGCCCGAAGAGTTTTTGTGGCACTTTAATCAGGCAGCCACGCTATTCTGTAGAGACTGTGCAGTATTAAATTAACCTTGTACAATGAATGAAGTTAAGTCTCTTACAATGGATCCCCAAACACACTCGTCTGTTGTCTTGGTTGTACACTCTCAGAGTGCTGTTTATCCTCCAGATGTTTTCCCACTTGTATTGTTGCCTACATATTGCTCTCCACTTGTATCATTGTCCACATCTTGCTCTCCACTTGTATCATTGTCCACATCTTGCTCTCTTATCTTCGACCTTTCCCTCTAGCAGTTCATGACAGTGTTATGTTTAAACCTAGTAGAAAATGGCAGGAGAAGCCGCTGGCCAAACAGTTAGAACACTGGACTCTCAAGCAGGAGACCCAGGATCGAATCCTGGGTCAGGCTGGGAATTTCTGTCGAGGGCCAAAAAAAATCCTCACCTGCACAGTCATGGCGACAGCACTAGCCATGCAGCCTTAAACCCTTGAGCCTGAAGATCCCCTTGCCTACACCTCAAAAGTGATATATAACAAAGGAAGTAACTGGCAGTTTTTGGCAGGAAATGGCAGAGGTTAAGGCCTGAACTAAGAAAGCACCTGCTGCACTGAAAGCAGACCAGGGTCAGCCAAAGATCAGACAACAGAAATGGGGTAGAAATGCCTGCTGAAAGTAACCGCATCCATCTCCAATCATTGACAAAACAATCCAATGCACAACTAAGATCAAACACCAGCAGTCAAACATGAAGCTAAGTGACCACGTTAACAGACTAGTTTTTGCTGCAAAATTATTTCTTTCAGATCGTACCTGCTTCGGCTTCTCCTTCTTGGGGGGGAACCGGACGCGCTACGGCTGCGGGAACGCCTGGAAAATAAAAACAAATAAGATTTACAATATAGTTCCAGCAGATTTCCATACATATTTTAAATGTTTATGCATCAATTGGTGTGACACTGAATGACAAAAGGTTGATAATAATCAGAGGTTCCAACGATTCTCTCAGGATGCCAAGATTGCATTGGGGGGAAGGGAGGGGGTGTGGGAGGAGTTCAGTACGAAGAAGAAGACCACTGTCAGTTTAAGAATTGAGTGCTTAAGAAAAAACCTTTAGACTGCAAGTGATGGCAAGAATGGTCATACAATCTCAAGCATTTATTGCAGAAGATTTGTTTTTCTAACATGAGCTTGTCTTGGTAACCAGTCAGTCATCATCACCGTGGGTCACATACCTTCCTATAGTATCATAAAATCATGCTGCCAGGAAAGGTGCCAACACAAACAATGAACAGCTTATAAATACCACAGTAAATACTGATAACAGAAGATGAAAGTAAAAAAAAAAAAAAAAAACAACAGAATGAAGTGGATTGCCAAAACCAAAAACATAAATATGAAAACCAAGTACAGACATAAAGAAAAAATTTTTAAGGGCATCGTTAGATCAGAAAAAATGGGGTATAAAAGTAACAGGAAAAAGAGAAAAACTGCATACCTAGAAGATATCTAAATGTAAGGCTCTATGACACAGGAAAATTAATGCATGTTCATTCAGTGCTTGAGAAAATGAGATGTGGTAAGACATGATCACCAAAGCCAGCTGTTGATGATGATAATGTTATCACAACTGACATCATGTACACTGGGCATTCCCGTCTTCTCAGTCCTCCGATGCAGCAGCCACTCCAAGGTACTTCTACTGATTGCTTCCACAAGGAGTTTGTTATATCTCTGGAAGGTGGGATAGACGTGCTTCACCTTCGTGTCAGGCAATCATGTCAGTGATTTGTCCTTAATCACGAGCACAGTCCGTGCAGCGGTGAGGATATCTGCTCTTTCCATGCCTCTTCCTGCATGTATTGGTGCACTGCTTGCCAGTTAGTCTGCTCGCTTATTACCTTTAATGCCGGCATGACCAGACATGAAGATCCAGGGGAGGGAGAAGTGCGATTTTCAAATGCTTTCTATCCTTTGAGAGCCTATACTACCTGCTGCAATTTTCTGTAGCATGTCATGAAGTGACAGGTTAAAAGGTACAGTGGCTTAATATTTTAACATTTAGAAATGAAAGGCCATTGATAGCATAATGGATTGAGTGCCCTAATGTAGCCAGGGTTTATATAAACTAGGGTTTATATTAAGCATACATCGACAATTAACCGTAACCACAGCGTATAGGTTGGTAATGTAACAAAACATCCCCAACATACTTTATTGAATTACTACAGAAACTTCAGTTTAAAAAAACAAAATACAACTTTCTAACAGAATCTGAAGATGCATTCTTGCTGCTCTACTATCCAGACAAAACTGAAAGGAATTTTCAAGCACATTTTTGTGTGTGCTAATAAATAGTATTGAAACAAGGTGTTAAATAACCAAAGACTATATTTCCGAATAGCCAAATCTCGACATACAAAACAACCCTCTTGGCAAACATGTTACATTTTCGTTAAAACTCAACGCAACCTGTGAGAGAAAAGGGGTAGTAAGCATCCAGATTTCACAGAAGACTAACGTGTGTACCAGCAAACAAACAGATAAATAAATACATGTATACCCACCCCCAGTTTCATGAGAAAAGTAAGTCTTGACAGTGCTAAATGATGCCACCCAGAAGAAAAGGGCTGACAATGCAGAGGCAAGCAAGTGAGCACTTTCAGAAAAGCAAAACTAACGAGAAGATGGCACCAGCACAGATACTGTATATGTAGCCACACTGACAAGTTAGAGAGAAACTATATAAGACTTCCTGGGGGGGGGGGGGGGGGGGGGGAATGGGGAATCTAGGCCTTGGGGCTGCCATATTTTCCTGTCAGTTCAGTGGTTAATGGTTCAAATCCTTTTTGAGACACTTTTAAACTATCCAGACCTCTCAAGTCGAAGCAGAAATGAAATATCCCCCAACCATGTCTTCTATTCGCCCTTAAAAGGGTGGCTGGCACATTGTATTGTGGTTTACAGCTAGGCTGCAATATCACTGGATCCAAGACATTTACTGTATGTGAATTAGTTGCATTTTTACAAAGTGCTTTTTTAAGGGACAGTGGATCTATTCCCCCCCCCCCCCAATGGGGGCCCCAGTACCCGAAAACTCCCGCCCCAACCACTGATACCACGACAGCTAACTCTAGCCAGTCTGGTTGTAAAATTATGACATACATATAAAAGACAGTCCCCCTTTTGCACTGTAACACATACACTTACAACTTGAAATGAATTTCCTTCCAAATCACTTTGAAAAAAAAAACACAAGCATCTGGCAAGTGCTTGTTTGCCTAAAGAAAGTCTCTTTAGAGAATGACAATACAACACCACACGCACAACATTTTCCAAACAACACTTTGACAGCAAGACTGGGTTCAAATCAAATGAAATCCACAAATGATGTCAGTCTTAACAAATGTCAGCTATTACTATAAATAAACACCCTTATTTGTTTTTAAAATTATTTATAAATAACTTATATAACACTTTCTTTAAAGAATTCTGGCTAATAAATCTGTGAAAAAAAAACAAAAACAGAGAGGGAGAGCCGAGTTCAAACAAATACTGTTATCATACCCTTTTTAAATGTAGGAACCGATGACGGCTCAGCTGCTGAATGGCTGATTAAAGTGGAGATGAAGTTGGTAGAGGTTGATGTGTAGCTACGTGGTTGATAAACGGCGTTTCCAAACACTTAGGTGCAAAGCTTTACACAATGCCACAATGATATTCTTTAAACCATTACCACTGGCTGGACTAAATCGAATTGAATTTAACCATCAACTATTAATAATGCCCCCTAAAAAAAATTATACTATCGCTATATTATATATTAACATGTAAAGCTGACATTTATCGGTTTTACTTCAGTAGCAATGGCTTGTGGCCCAATTCCAACCCCTAGTGATGGGATTGTTTCCATGATTAGCAAAGCAAGCAGCACCGGAACCATGTACTGAACACACAGATGTTATATTGCATCACCGCTGCTTCATGTTGTTGCTATATTCTATTTTTTTTTTGCCCTTTATTCACTTTATTACATTCCCTTATTTACTCATTACGCTGCTCTATTTGCTTTAATGCGCTGCTTTGTCCCTTTTATTATGTTGATCCATTTACTTCATTAAAATGATTTATTTACTTTATTGTGTTCAGTCTTAGACCCATCTAAAATCAGTATAACAAAAGTGACATTATTTACTCAAGGGTTATGTCATACTATCAACTCAGTGAAGCCTGACTCCCACTAAAATCAACATAGCAAAAGTCACTTTATTTTACTTGTCTGACTTTCTCAGATTTGGCAATCTGTATCAATCCCTTACAACTTGCCGATTCGGAAACTTAGTGGGAGCTGACAACAAGCGGTGCGAGCCGAAGAACATTAATGCGTGGGATGCTGGCCTGGTCCACACTCAACGAGGACGCGGTGATACATTTCGCTGACAGGCCCCCGACGGAGACAGTTTGAAGGGCGGCAGTGGAGGAGGCTAAACTGGAAGCTGAAGGAGGCCGGGCCGGGCACACCAGCTGAAGAGGTTGGCTGGTTGAAGTTGGTAATGAAGATGGTGCTAGGTGGTGGTGGTAGTAATGTAGGAGGTGGTGCTAGTAGTAGTAGTGGTTGTAGAAATGTTGATGCTAGGTTGGCTGTCGGTGATTAGCCCAACTGATGATGATGAGGGTGCAGGAGTCCCTGTAATAATTGTGGCCAGAAAATAAACATCATCAGTATCAGGGGGAAAAACAAGACTACTGTACAAGCTGTAAAAAAGCATACTTACTATACATGGAAAACATTGTCAACAAGCAAACATAAGCTACACAAATACTAAGCACAGACCAAATGCAAACTCCCAACATTTCATGTGAGTAGATAACAGGTGAATTAATTGAAGCGGGCGGGGAAATCAGAAAGAAAATGGACATTAGCATATTTACAACTTGCATGCATCTTTGACAAAATATACACAGAACAATATTTCATAATGTTGCTCAGGAAGAAGTTCAACAGTAATAAAACAATGTAGTGTGATGAATATTTTTGTGATACGCCTCCCTGTAAAGCCAAATGTTTATGCATTCTTGTCCGTTATTGCATCAATGACCCTTTGTTTTACATGCCGATCAAGGCTTTCTAACGTTAACTTTCTTTTTTGTGAATGTGTTAACCAGTGGTTTTTTTTTGGGGGGGGGGGGGGGGGGGGGGGGGGGGGGGGGGGGGGGGGAGGCTGATTTTTTTTAGATTATTCTTTTTAATAAAACAGTCAGTACCTCAACTGATATACTATATAATAAAACAGTCAGTACCTCAACTGATATACTATATAATAAAACAGTCAGTACCTCAACTGATATACTATATAATAAAACAGTCAGTACCTCAACTGATATACTATATAATAAAACAGTCAGTACCTCAACTGATATACTATATAATAAAACAGTCAGTACCTCAACTGATATACTATATAATAAAACAGTCAGTACCTCAACTGATATACTATATAATAAAACAGTCAGTACCTCAACTGATATACTATATAATAAAACAGTCAGTACCTCAACTGATATACTATATAATAAAACAGTCAGTACCTCAACTGATATACTATATAATAAAACAGTCAGTACCTCAACTGATATACTATATAATAAAACAGTCAGTACCTCAACTGATATACTATATAATAAAACCTGGTCTTTATGCTGGAGGAAAAAAAAAAGGATGTTTACATAGCTGTTTTATGTGACTAATTGACTGCAACTACTGATGTGTTTGTAAGTGCTGTTTCCACTGACCACTAACTGCATTTATAGTGATGGGCTGTTTGTGTTGGTACTTCCAATGGCTGTCTTTTGCATTTAACGTGTGTGTTTCCTATTGGCTTCGCCAAGACTGCAGTTTCTGTCAATTTTGTTTTCACAAGGCACAGTGATGGGCATTCTGTGTGGTTTTCGTTAGCACAGGAATGCAAAAATTATGAGGTGAACCATTGGCTGTCGTGTTGGACATCCGGCACCCCCTTTTTCTCACCATGAAAATGTCATGTGATCAACAACCCTCAATACACCACAATGACATGAAAGGTTTTTAACCCTTGCTGCATGATCTGTTAATATTTGTAGAGTCTTCTGATAACTTTCAGGGTTGATATGTTTCCTACTTTAGCTGATTTCCTGAAGTATGGAAGCAAGTTTTTTTTAATTTACCCCAGGTTTTAAAAAAATAGTTGCCAAATAAGAGCTAAAAATCTTCTGAGTCTAAATTTGAGACTGATACCCTAATAAAATGACCTCAGTTTTAAACACAGAAAATGAGTCACCAAAAAAGGTGTGGACTGAAGATCACAAGAATGTACATGGATAATCATGCTTTACTCCACACCAAACTATTTCTCAAGATGTGTGCACTAAGACTGAACTATCTTTAAGCGAATGAAAAGACAACTGTGTGCTAATATATAAAAGAGTACAATTTATAATAACAGGAGAAAACCAGGCAAATTCACAACACAGTAGCAAAATTCACCAATTATGACTAGACACACACTGATGTTGGATAATCACCACAATAAAACAATGTTAATATTCTTAACTTCATTCTATACCAAGTACTCACAAGAAGTTTAAAGCCTGCAGCATACATTACATATTTTTCTTATCCAACAACTTATTTCAGACAAACAAACGAAAATCACACATAGATGTCTCCACAGCTAATTCAGTCCAATTTAGCCATTCAGCAAGGGATCATAGCTGGAGTTACAAAGTCCATGCTTTATGCAATGCTCTCAGCTGGCTAGCCATTTTACAAAGACAACCTGGCGCAATGAAGGTGACCCTCTCAACTTCGACATAAAGACATAGGTGGATTCTTCTCTTTTCGCCAGCCGTAAGCTCTGGCGGAAAGTCCTAGCTGTTCATCCAATAGACTTTGGCTTTGTGCCAGGGCCTGAGTTTTGCAAATACCTCCATGTGACTGACTTGTGTGCAATTAGTTGTTACTTGCCGCTCGGGCAGATGCACTCCAACTTCAAAGAAAGTCCTCAAATTAGTCGACTCCTATGACATGCTTGTTGGGGAGGCAAAAGGTCTATTCTTGTTTTCCCAACAATGGGGCCCTGGAAGCCACACAAGGAGGGTGGATACTGTAACCCCTGACCTACTCTACCTCCGCTAAATGTAAGATGTGTCACTTGGTACAGAATGAGTTTAGTCACAAAAACTGACAGAAACAAAAAAAAATAGACACTTCTCCCCGACCATGACCAGAGCAAATCAAGAAAGATTACAAAGACGGCAGCAAGCAGTTCCCAGAACTGGTGTAACAGAGTAGATTTTATGTATTTTTTAAACATTATGTGCAATAATTACACGTATACAGATCTAATTTCTGTGTTTTATGTACAATTTGTATAACTCATTTAAAATAAAAAAGTGTTCAAAAATATAAATTTGATTTACAGCCTTGCAAGTCGCAATGGAACTTGGTCATGAGTCGGAGAGACCCTGTATTTAAAAAGCACTGGTACAATATTAAACAAGTGCAGCTGCAGAAAACATGAAATGTCACATATAAAAGAAAGAAACATGTACATAAGCACAAAGTACTGCCTTTCTCCTCCACCCCACACACAAAAAATGTGTAAACATTCCATGAATTCAGGCAACATAAACACAAAGCCTCAAGTTAGGGTAAAAAGAATATGAAAAAAGAGACCACACTCAGTAATATCACAGTTCAATTCATTTAAAGATCAACTTCCTCGTGTATGTCCATAAGTGCTCCGATCTCCTCCTGAGTATGTCTCCAAGTGTTTTTAGGCTAACAACTCCCATTCACCCAAGCCATCTCAGCATTGTGCAAATGTGTCTGAGCCATCTGTATCTTCTTCCTTGGATAAATTTGATGAGCGATGAGCATTTTGTTTTTCCTCCTGTTCACTTGTGACCTCACTGTGCAGTTACAGGATTCTCCTTAGACATTTATTTTGTCAATGAGTAAATCTCGCTGCCATGTTCAAACACTCACTGTTGTATAACAGTATTCCAAAAAAGAGCACCTACTGTTACATGTTGATATGCTTCCCATACTGTACACCGTAATAAAATTTATATTTTCTTGAAGTGTTTTTTTGCAGAAGTTGGATAGCCCTATCTTTATATAACCAATCAGCCCCTGCAGGGAGCAGTAAAAATCACATCTTTAGGTCCTAAAAATTTCCGTTACATCTCAGGCTTACTTAAATGAGAATATGAAGCTAGATTTTTTAAATATATATATATATATATAATTATATACCAATTTGCAGTGAACATTGTGCGGGGGGACCATGACATTGCCCAGTGCCCATTTAAAGCTGGACTGACCTGGGAGCCAGTCATTTTCTTTTTTTCTAAATCAGCCAAGTATGGGGTTGAATCCCAGACTTTTAGGTTGGCAGGCAATCGTCCAGCGTCACTATGCTACTGTGGCTCCCTACTTAAACTGTAGCTTGCCTGTGTGGGTTCTGGATTAAAAAAAAAGGGGGTGGGGGGGGGGGGCAGTATCACCCTAACAAGCATGTCTTTAAAGCTGACTAACAAAAGAATTAGAACACATATGGGGCCAATGTATCTGCGGCAGCCTGGGTTTGGCATAATCATGAAATCCTGCAAACAATTACATACCATAAGACTATTTTAATCCCTATAGAGTACACTGTCAATGCTTACTCTTTAATATTTTTAAAAGAATTCTGCATGTTTCTGGTGAGTGGGATGTAAATCTGTGCATGTCACTAACACCTGTAGGTTGTGAATTATGTCTTCACACATCACATGGAGTGTAAATCTGGTTTAGTCGATACGCATCTACCAGCACAGTAACTAGAGTTTACAATATATGTGTGATATTAACCCAAATTTTTTATTTTTAATAAGCATCTTTTTTTACACATAAATATCAGTAGTCTCAACAATAAATATCAGATACTTGAAAACAACTGTACCTGGACCGTCGGGCGCCACCTCCACCACCTCCTCCGCTACCCCCACGATAGTTGCTGTTGTCAAACTGCTGTCTGCTGCCACTTCGTGGAGGTCCCCTATTCCCCCATCTAGATCTACCGGATGACATTTCAACTCGAACCCTGCGTCCATTAATTTTGCTGCAAAAATAAACGTGGATAAATATCTGAAATGGGTGGACATGAAGCTGTAGTGATAGTGGTTAGTGAGCCTGCCCATCAAGACAGTAAAGATTTATCAGCACCATACATCCAATATGGCCAGCACCACATGCTAATATGTAAGTAAAAGTAAAGTAAAGATCCCTTTCCACGTATTTAGGTGTATCAGGCATATGGGAAGCGCGTCAATATTTTTACAGACCATCAGGACTCGGTGGGTAATGTGGTCAGCATTACGCTGGCTGTCTTTACTTTCCCAGGACATACATCCTGGTACCCATTTTAGGCTGGGTCAACCTGCGACGCCCCATACCATGATAAAATTCCACGCAACCAGCAGTGGGTTTCGATCACGGTATGCTGGATTACGAGTTGGACTCGCAATACCTAAGCCACGGATGCCGCACATGCCAATATATAACAATGTTTTCTAATAATGAATTTAAATAATGCGGATACAAACAATACATTGCACAATTTAATGCTAGGCATATTTCGCTGTATCTCATCAGGTGCGTTACTACAGAGTTACATCAACATAAAATAAAGCACAAAACTAAATAAATCCAACTGAAATGCAAATAGTCTCTTCCGATATATTGTGTGTTTCATGTCCGCCGGAAGCTCACCGTAGTCACATGACTTACCAGGGTAACTTCAAATTTACGAGAAATTAAGTCTGCTTACAAAGAAGGGGGTTGTTGATTTTTATTGTTAAAGCTTCGGCGATTCTCAAAAGTCTTCTGTCTGTGTCAATTATGTGTCCGGAATTGAGTAGTTGGCGTCCTATGGAAGAAGCAGGTTCTTTCCTCTTGACTGGTCTCGACACCCTAGAAGAATTGCTGAACTGTGTATGTAGCCATTTGCGTATGTGCTTTGCCTCTATTTCCAAGCTGCCTCTCCGTTTGACCGATGTAAGTCAAATGGCACATACATGTAAATTAGTAAATACAATTAGATTTGGTGTACGGAGAAACGTATGTGTGACTCAAGCTGTGCTGTGGTTTACATCTAGGTTGCAATATCTGCGCCTATTGGCCCACTAATTCTGATTTCAGCAAGACCTTAAACAGCTGCTTCTTATAACATGCTTGTTGTTGGGGTTGTGGGACTATTCTTCCTCCCTCAGAAACCAAACAGGGAAACTTGCAAGTGGAGACTGGAGACGATAACTTAAGTTCGCAAGAGAAGTCAGAAGAGGTATAGTTGCTGCATCAGAGAATTGAGCCAAATGTGCAGTTCATGATGACTGAGACAACATAACATGAACCAGACAATGTAAAGATTATCTGAAGTAAAAACCTAACTCTTTTTACATCACTGCCATGTCAGAATTTTTTTGCAAGACATGACAACCCAACTGGGTGATGTGAATGACATCATGCCTGCCACCTTTACTTCCCATGACACTGCCGGTACCCATTCAGAGCTGGATAGCCAAGGTCAATTTTAAAGAACACCTGTCAGCATGCAGATTCAAAACTAAACATTCGGGCCAGTGGACAAGCATCTAAGATTCTCTTCTTACTATCATGTAAATAATCAGTGACACAACCCCCCCCCCCCCCAAACCAATGGGAAAAAACTAACTTGAGTATATACTTACGCTCCATCCAAAGCTCTAACTGCATCTTCAGCATCACGACTGTCCTCAAATTCAACAAATGCAAAGCCAGGAGGCTTGCGGGCTACCCAGACATTTTTCAGCTGGCCATACTTAGAGAACTTCTCCTCCAGCTCCTGTTTGGCACACCCGTAGCCCAGGTCACCTACATAGACCTTACAGTCCAGACTCCAATCTCCCAATGGCGCATTTCGCGACATTCTGTGATCTTCCAGTTTAGGGTGTCAATGTCTAAGTCTTAAAAACCCTTTGAAGTTCTCTGAATATAGATATGAAAAATACTGTTTATTAGTTATTGGCAATTTTCTGTAATTTCTGACAATATAATATTCCAAGATTCCTGCAAGAACTTCATGCCAAAAGAAGTATTGCCAGACAGGAACATATAGGCAGCCAAAGGACATTAAGCCAACACAAAAGTGGTGTTTTAAGTCAATACCTGCTAAGAGAGATACACTGAAGATAGGAGGACATGAATCTTATGAACTTGTAAGATTATGATAATTGGGCAATTAACTAAGATACCATAGTAAAGTAAAAAGTAAAGGATCCTTCTCCACTCCTTTAGGTGTAATGAGCATATAGGGCTAGACCTACATTTTATAGATCAACTGGCACTCGATGGATGATGTGGTCAGCATCAAGCCAGCCACCTTTACTTCTCAAAACTCCACCTGGAACTCACTCACTGGGAGCCAAGGTAATTTTTAAAAAAAAGTATGGCTCTGTCAGGACCCGAACTCTCGCCTTCCGCTACACCACAGCGACTCACACTAAGATACCATACTGTGTTGTATCGGAATCATAGCCCATTGTGATGTGAGTATCACTAGCAAGACCTGCTCATATTACGAAATGTTTCTAGACGAATCAAGGCAAGAAATGAAGTTCCTGCTCTCTGTAGCAAAAAGCCTGGGCAGTATGTTAGAGACCGTGTGCTCCTCATGCAGTATGATCTCTCCCTCAGCCTTTTTTTAAATTATAAACTTTAATACGTTTGGAACAATGCATGCTGCAATACTGTTAGCTGCCGGAATAGTAGGTCAGTGCTCTCTGTGTTTGAGTTTTTCTCTAGACTGGCCAGAAAACAAGCAAAATCTACGGCACATATCTTTTCTGTAGCAACCTAAAAATGTGTCGTGGAATCTCACAATCTGTAAAGAAGAAAATTAGGGCTGCTAAGCTGAAATGCTACAGAAAGATTTGAACTATTATTTAGAATACCATGAAACAAGAAAGCAAAAACACTGACATTCTAAAAAATCTGATAGGAAAATGAAGGAAAACATGAAAAAACATATATCCATCCAGTTTGTCCAAAGGTATTGTTATTTGATGGGAAACTGCAGACTCCTAGATTATTTAAAACAGACTAAAATAAAATAGACACATTTTCTACTTCTGCGTTCATCCAAAAATGTTTGTTTAGCCCACTTACAACAATGCTGCAATATTTGCGCTTTTTCTGCTCGACACATTTTACTTCAGCAGGCTGGCTATCCTTCAAATGACGGTCCCATTTCTGGCTAATCTGGCTACACAAATGCCTGCTGGGCTATCCTCTGAATAACGGTCCCAGATTATCAAGGCCGGGAAAATACCCTAACAGGGCCTCAGTCATATGTAAATTGCGGACCTCTTTCCTGGGACTACACAATTTGAAGTCACCGCTAAGAGTATACCCCGCGCCGCTGCGCGCGGCGTGGAGGGGGGCTAAACCAGACGGCTGGGACTCGCGAGCACAGCTACCGCATCTCCTGCAGCTTCCTCCATTTTATTTGCTTGTGAGTCCCAGTCATCTAGTTTAACCTTCTTCACGCCAAGCGTAGCGGCTAGGGGATACTCTCGACGGTGGCGGTATAGTGGAAAGAGGTCCGGGCTATCTTTCGAATAGCAGTCCCAAATAACTGAGGCAGAAAATATACCCTAACAGGGCCTCAGTCACGTGTTAATTGCGCACTTCCGCCACCGCCGAAAGTATCCCCCACGCCGCTCATGCTAAAATGGGGCTAAACAAGGCAGCTGCAGGAAATGGGGTAGCTGCTGCTCGTGAGTTCCAGCCATCTAGTTTAGCCCCAATCCACGCCGCATGAGGGATACTTTCGGCGCGGGAGTGTGAAATGTAAGTCGCCGGAAGTGCGCAATTGACACGTGACCGAGGTCCTGTTAGAGTATATTTTCTGCCTCAGTAATTTGGGACCGTTATTCGGAAGATAGCCGAGGTCCACAAAAAACATCATATGACTGAGGCAATGTTAGGGTATTTGGTACTCTTCCAAGTACTGGTCCCAAATTATTTACTGTTTTAAAAAATCCCATTCAGGGCTTCAAGAGGTCATATATAGAATAGGAACATCATGGACTATTCTTCGCGTTATTATATAATTTCATGGAAACAAATTCTCTCATATTTTGGCTATCCTCCAAATAACGGTCCTAAATTGAACCCTAACAGAGCCTCATTAGGTTATGCCCTACAAAGATTTAAAAGTTGTAACTCGGAAAATATAAGGAACGAAAAGTATGAGGAAAGGGGGGAAGTCTACTATTTACCGATAATTAAATCCTATATATGTAAAAACTGGCACAGATGTTGCAAATAGTGCCCGAATATCTGTTCCTTCTGGCTGTGCCGCCATAGGAACTCCGCCAAATAAGGCGTGATCGTAAACGTTATGTTTTAATTTCTCAATGTTGCTGTAGCCTCGCCAAGCGTCAGTCACAATTCTTGTTCAGGGCAACACGTGATCAGCAATGGCGCGCTCTGATGTACGCGCATCTCGCCTCGGGACAACTTCAAATCAGCAGCGGCCACTATGGTGTTCCACTAGCCCGACCACCCAGTGACCGTGGCGAATGCGACCACGCCTGTACTTGCGACGGAAGAAGTAGCTCATGTAAATTGTAAGACTTTTCCCCCGTGTGGGTTCCGGGGCCCCATTGTGGGGAAAACAAGAATAGACTCACTGCCTCCTCAAAAGCATGTCGTAAGAGTCGACTAATTGGGGAGCTTCCTTTGAAGTCGGAGTGCATCTGCCGGAGAGGCAAGGAACCAACAGTCTGTATTCAAGAGAATGAGATCTGTAAAACTGATGCACACGCGCAACACTCAGGTTCTGGAGCAGGACTGCAGTTCACTAGTGGACGAGCAACCAGAACTTTCCACCAGAGTGTACAGCTGGTGAACGCGAAGAAGAAGAAGAAGTAAGACTTTTTTTCCGGCGACTGTAGTGTCACCTCCGAAAGTATCTCCCACACCGCTACGAGCGGCGCGGAAGGGGCTAAACTAGATGGCTAGGACTCACGAGCAAATATAATGGAGGAAGCTGCAGGAGAAGCGGTAGCTGCTGCTCGTGTGTTCCAGCCATCTAGTTTAGCCCCTTCCGCGCGGCGCGGTGCAGGGAATACTCTGGAGGTGGCACTATAGTCGCCAGAAAGTGGTATGCAACTTACATATAACTGAGGCCCCGCCGTAGGATAGCCCTATCGTGTGTATTCTTGCGTTTCGCTAATTTTTCGTCCGTAGTTAATCCTAGTTTTGCTGCCGTTTAATCGTCCTTAAAAAAAATTTGTTGCGCTTCGCGAAAAAATTTTGTGCGTAATTAATCCTACTTTTGACGTGGTTGATTCGTCACAAAAGAAATGCGAATTTTAGATATGACTGAGGCTCTGTTAGGGTTTATTTTCTGCGTAGATAATTTAGGACCGTTATTCGGAGGATAGCCCATATTTTTTTACCCTTAAAAGGGCGGTTGGCACGTTGCGTTGTGGTTTACAGCTGGGCTGCGATATCTGCGCCTTTCACTTCGTCAAACCGGCTTCAGCGGTCCTATTTAGTCGCTTTTAGAGCAAAATCCGAATACCGGTCCCAAATTATTCCACTGCGAAAAATCATATAACAGTCACAGTGGCATGGCACGCCCATGTTCATGTTGTTTAACCAATTCACTCGTAACTATTTTAACTGAGCATTCTCTCTCTCTAGTGACTGATTACAGTATAATGCAATCGTAATTATGAACACAGTTGTTTACCTGAAACAGAGACAGGTATAACTACAGGTTTTGAAACTTCACTGCAACTTTTTTAATCAGTAAGGCGATTGTTTCATTGTCCAACCATATTCAATATGGCGGTGTCGTCGGCAGCCAGATTTTTAACGCAAGGCAATGCATCGAGGGACATTTTGTTTTTACACCATAATGGCATGGAATCCCAGATTCGACTTCACGGCATCCAGGACAAGCCCATAATAGCTCCGTCTCCCTCCTCAAAAACATGAGAATAATTTTATACTTGGTTTTACAATATCTAGCTTTTTATATTTACAATATTGATAATTATAGCCTTCTCGGACTTCAAGTACGACATGGACATTGCTTATTTTATAACCTGCATACAGTCGTGAGACCTAGGCTGCATGCAGGCGTGGAACCCAGTCTGCACTCTCTCGTGGGACGTAGGTGGGTTGGGGTTAGGCTCAGTTCTAGGTGTTTTGGGGTGTTAAAAGCTCTCACAATAAGAACAATTATCCACGTTAGCAGATCTGGAGAGATGTTGGAATGCGGCAACTAGTGCGGCGGCAATAGAGACGACAGACTATTGTTCTGGTGATGCAAAATGCCATGATGTTGCAGGAAAGCAACGCTGCTCTTCTTGACATGTACCCACGCTGCTAACTCAAGGAAATTTTTTGTCGAAGACTGAACATACGCCGCTGGAAATACACTCAAGACGCCGTTAAAAAATACGCCTCTACCGCCCTCTAAAATATTGGACTGTACCGTGACGTCAGATGTGGTCGGCTAATAAAAAACTACTTACTATTCTTCTTTGGACCCCTATGTAGAGTAGTGCTCTTGTCTTGCTTCACCCATTTTGATGTAATGTTCTTGAAGTCTCGTCAGTGTTGCAGATTCACAATCATTACTTGATTCGTTTAATCGAGCTGCTTCTCTTTCAGCCCTGTCCATTGCTCTTCTGTTTCCCACGAGAGCATCACATGCAAGTCTGTCAGCTCGTTTATTGCCCTTCATACCAGAATGCACCGGAACAAAAAAGGAGCTGATTTTTTTTTTTTTTTAAGATCTATTCAGGGACTCCACCCATTGTCTTCGTATGCAATCCTCCTCGGTCTTCTTGAGCATATTCATTGAGTTGGTGAGAAAACATGACTGGGTAAATGTCTTGTGTTTCTAGC